CCGCGAGGGCCGTGGTGGGGCGGCAGGCCGGGGCCGGGCGGGGTGGGGTGGGACCCCGCGGCGAGGGCAGCCCGCGGCCGGACAAAGCATGGTGGATGCGGAGGCGGCGGCAGGAAGAACCCCGGCGGAGACCCGCGGCAGCCTGGCAAGGTACGTGCGGGGGGAGCTCGGCCGCCGCCCCCGCCAGCGCTGCCTCCGCGGGGTGGTGGAGGTCGGCGCTGCCGGAGGGGCTGAGGATGGACGGGGAGGAAAAAAACTCTATTTTTAAACTTAATTTTTRCCTCCCCTGGCTTCCCAGGTCGGGAGGTTTTCCTTCCCCGTCGCCTCTCGCTAATTTGCGTAGTGACCGCTGTGAGCTGGCGGCGGAGGTCGAACTGCCGGAGACATAAATTTGGGTTTTTTTTTTTTTTTTAAGGGCTGGGTTTTTCTCCCTTCCACGACTGGGTGGTGACAGGCGGCGGCAGGGTGGGGTTAAACCACGCGGAGTCCCTGCCCCGGCGGCACCGGCAGCCGGCACATGTTGCAGCCAGAGCGGCGAGAGTGAGCGGGGAGCGGCACGGTCTGTTGGCATGGATGAAACTTAGGCCAGCTCAGCCCTACCGTATGTTAGTCCTCGCTTTTTTTAAAATTAATTCATTAATTAATTTAGTTATTTATTTAGGGAGGCGGCGTTGGTGCCGAAGCCGTGAGGTTTTTTTTTTTTTTTTCCGAGCCGTGGGGCTGCTGCAGTGCCGGGAGCTGCTGCAATCCGCTCCTTGGGCTGGARGGGAGGGACAGAGGGCGGCGGAGCGGGGACACTCGCACCCCTTCCTGGGGTCACCTCATTAGCGGGCTGCGACCCAGCGGCTTAATTATTAACATCCGCCTCGCGATTCTCGACGGTGTGGTGCTGAGGTTGTGGCTCTAAAATGTGGACTTGACAGGGRGGTGGGAAATGGTATTTTTGCCGGAGTTCGCCTGACTGGATGTGCTCCTTCTCGAGATGATGCTTTTTAGCCCTTCAAACTTCCTGGCACGTCCTGGTACCCCTTCAGGAAGGGACTCCGGGCTACTCGCGGGGATTGTGGCTAAACTGCAGCTCGCGACTCATTAGTCATCCTGCAAAAATTTGTGGTGAAAGTTACTTGAGTAACCCTTTAATCCGACTTCCCAAAATGCTCGGTGCTGTTGGGGTTGATTATTAAACACTCATGTTTAGTTTTAACTATGCAAATGAAGAGCTTGCGTAGTTCGGTTGTTGGTTTGTTTTTTTTTTCCCTCCCCCCTTTTTTAATATATTTTGGACAGAAAAACTTGCTTTGGGCACAGAAAAGTTTAGTCTGGCCGTGGAAAAGATGGGTGCGTAAAATTACACGCTGGACGTGTAACCTGAAAGTTCTTGAGGAAACATGATTATAGCGTTGTCCTTTGAGGAAATTTCTGGTAAATTACTGCTCGCCGCCTTAAAGAGAGAGACAGCCCTGAATAATCCAGTTCTCTCTGCGAGCTGCTTACAGCGGTTTCGTGTTCTTGTTGCAGTTCCTCTTTGGCGTCAGGCTCCGCTGCTGTCACCGAGGGCGTGTGCRGGGAGGGAGGGGGCAGCAGATGACACTCCGGTGAGTGGCACACTCGGCGTTGGGTCCGCATGGAGAGAGAAGAGAGCCCAGGCTGCTGCCTCTCCACTCGGTGACCCAGCCTAATGCCTGGTAAACAACCGGAGGAGTTSAATTAGCGCGGAATTGTTACGAAATGCGCGGAGGAAACGAAACGGAGAATCAGCTTTTCTCATTCGGCAGATGTCATTTTTAATGGTTCGGTTGGGATTTTTTTTGTTGTTTTTGTTTTGGTTTTTGTTTGTTTTTTTTTCCTTCCTGAGGCCGTAAATAATTCGAGAAGATAAATATCTTCTAAAAAARCAATACTGCCATGGAGATGAATTGCAACACAGAATACTTGTCGTGTACCTGAAAATGTAATAGGGTCGTTTAGAATCAAAATATTTTGGCTTAAAGGAAACCGCTGGTTTTGCTGCTTGCTTTGAACGTGTGACTTTCTACAGGAGATGTGCAGTAACTGAAATGTATGGCTGTAAGGCAGCTACGGACAGAGCATAAAGTGATCAAAAATTAGAATTTACTTATGGTAATTCTTTCACCTGTGAAGTGGTTCTGCTTGGATTTGTGCTCGTTTCTTTATATTTGTGCACTACAAAAAGATGAGGAAAATGCAGCAAGGTAGCACTGCTGAAGGGAGTTGTTTTGAAGGTCATGCTTTAGATGACTGGGAGTGCTAGCTGGCTGTCTGAAGCCCTGTTTCATAATAGGTAAAACTCACTAATCTCCCCAGAGATTGTTCCTAATGAACACAGTGTCACTGGTAGTCAAAAAAATTTATTATTATTGCCTGGAAGCTGCTCCTGAAATTTTTAAATACTTCTCCTGAGTAATGAAGGTGCTGCTGGGGAGATCAGTGGAGTTTGCTCAGAGAAGAAGCAGTGTTTGGTGAGAAATGAGAAGTGGGTAAAGCGGTGTGGTATTCTGTGCTGGCAGGTCTGGGCAGTTGTCTGTATGAATAAGTCACAGCGAATATAGAGGGGAACAAAAAGCAGGATCTGAGTCTTCATCTTGCCTGCCCATCAGACTCCTTGGAGAACCGAGCCTGTCGRAGGAGTGCTGCTCCACGGTGACTTGTGAGTGCTGAGACCCTGAGGAACTGTCATTTTACTGCCACCTGCTGCAGCTATTTTTGCAGTGGAACCAGCTCTGGCAGTGTTTWTTCCTGCTGGCTGTGTAAATCCACTTGAAGGAGGAAAAAAATGCTAGTGACAGAAATCTGTGTCAGTGCCGATCAGGTTGAAACACGGAATGTGATCCTGGGTCTCCTAGCACAGCCAATATTGTCATTATGGCAGCAATCGGCTTCTCATTGATCCGTGTATTTGGCCAAACCTTTGGTCATTTTGCTCCAAATTAACCAGAAGGTAGGAGAAAGATTGAACAGTATCARTTATAATCCTCAGCCAGCCTCTTCGGTAACTTGTTCTTTCTCGACAGGTCACTGCATTTTTGACAAATGTGTCAGATGATCTTGCAACATCTTTACTTCAGGCAGGTTGTGAAACTTCTCGAGTTTGTTACTTGATGGACTTTTCCCGTGCGCTGTCAGACTTGTGCCTTTTGTGCCAAGTGACTCAAGCAGCTCTGTCGGAAACGCACCGAGGGCTGACATTCCAGATCTTTGTCTTTTACTGGATTTGGTTATGTGTCCTGCTGTAAAAAAAAAAAAAAAACCCATTAATTTCTTCTTTTTGAGGAATTTGCAGTCTGCATACTAGAGGCTGGTCGGTTTCTTGCAGGTAAAGCTTAAAGTTTGTAATTCTCAAACTTGCCAAGAATAGGCCAAAGRCAGGAGGGGGAGAAAGATATTGGCAAGAGTGAACTTACTATGGCAACAAGTTTTCTGTGAAAAGCACAGAATATAGAGGTATGTATTTCATCAAAATAATGAGCATTTCAACTTGTCTGGCTTTAGTGGTAATGGTTTTTTTTGAAGGCCATTAGGATTGATTGCCTTCCAAAAGCTTGAAACCCTCTTTGTCCCTCTCACAGGTGGTTGGTTTGGGATTTTTTTTTTTTCTAGTATGTCTCTTTATTATATTTTCTATTTATCTACAGTAGAAATGTGGAATTTTTAAGCGAGTAGGCATCTGTTTACTTTCTAATTTTAAACTTTTTTTTTTTTCCAGCTTTATGCAATTTCAGTCCCTAATGCATTTTTAACCAAAATGCTAACAGTTAATTTAGGAAGGTTTGCTGGTTGTGTGCTTGAGCAATCACGGGATTAGTATTTGATGCTTCTGGTGTGTCATAGGCTGTGTTCATGTGAGTGCTTACCATGGAATCATAGTTGGAACAGGGATCCCCACGGGGATCATTGGAGTCCAGCTCCTGGCCCTGCATGGGACAGTGCTTCATGTGGTTTAGAGAAGAATTTGTGCCCSTGAGTGCAGTTCACAAAAATTCCTAATGTGTTATCCCTGTAACGCCGTGTTCTGACCTCACGCAGATATATTTAGATGGTTTTATCAGTTCACAGTTGTATCCCTTTATGTAAGTAAGCACCCTTTATGTGCTTAAAACAGAGGGGAAAAAAAAAAAAAAAGAAAAAAAAAAGACTGAAATGCAGGCTCTTCTGTGGTAAGAAGAAGGCACAGAGGGGCGAAGTCACCGACCCAAAAGTTGGGGAATAAATGTCAGACCTGTCCAGTCACATTTGGCTTTTGCATAGGAAGCGCTGACAGGCATCCTGGACTCAATCCTTTATCTTTCTAGCTGATTTCCTTGGGCCTTTTAGGATTTAAAAGATGGCTTAAGTATAAACCTCCCCGAGTCTCCAGATCGTGTAAAACCCAGAGAAAAGTGGTTAAACTGTCTTGTGATGAACTGTGCCGAAGAATGATTGAATTGGCCTCTCATGAGAGGCAATTAGCATTTAAGTAAGGAAAAGAATCCCAGTGTGTGGTGGGTGTGGTGCTGAGATTTTTAAAGGGAGAATTGATGAAGCAGTTTGCATCAGCGGTTGGTTAAGAAAGCCTCGTTGTTTGGGAGAAATAAGAGAGTAAGAGTTGAAAAGCATTTAATTTGGAGCTAGTTTTGTTCCTCTTCGTAAATAACTTCTGAAATTTAGCAGCTGCCTGGTCTTAAGCACACTCWGAAGAGTTAGTCTGAAAGTGAATTGACCAAATCACTTCAATTGTAAGTCAGACATCTAGCTCAGATGAGCAAGAAATTTTGACTTGTGGGTGGGAATGACTAATTTTCCTTTAAAAGGGTAATTCTCAGAGGCTCAGTGGTTCGAGTATTTTTTTACAACACGGTGGTGTTGAAGGTGTGTGAGCCCCACCCCGGTGTGTGTGCTGTGGGATGCGCAGCCTCCTGCCCGAATTTCCTGCCGGGAGCATCCTGCTGTGTCCCGGGGCAGTTCGGAGGCAGCTCTTAGTTCCTCAATTCAATTCCCGACCCAGCTGCACAAAGTGGGTTGAGAAATAACCTTTTGTGTTTGCTTATCTTCTGGGTTATACATAACAAAACACATTTTCCCTGCAAAT